AAATGTTGTGATTTCGTTGTGATTTGTTTACTTAGAATATCATATGAAATGACTTGAAAATGATTTGTTAACTTTGTTAGCTATCATGGTGTGATTCATTGATGATTTGTTACAACGAATACAATGTTGTTGCATTCGGATTTTCTGGGTTTATCATTTTCTCTGACATCCGGTTGAGATCAAATTCAAATTTCAAATACTGTTCTATATTAACTGAACAAAGAAGGTTGCAAGATGAAGAGTAAAATATACTATCAATGATGACATGCATTGGTACATATCTCAGTAATTAACTTATTATTTCACACATTCAAATAACACTATTCAAACATATTAAAGGTGTTAACCTTTTAAATTCAGAAACGGTGCATTTCAGTATCTCGTAATAAATTTGTACTGTCAGGATTAATTTTCAAAATAAAAATGTGTAAAAGACGTGTAAATTTAACAGATCGAGACATGCAAATAAAGACTAGCTTCCCGAGTCAGCAGACAAAATTCACTGGCAAGTTTTGTGTTTTAATTTTTCATGATGTTTACGACCTATCGCCTATTCGACATCCTTCTGGTGAACGTGGTTGCCCGTGTGTTTGTCAAATCTCGTTAGAGTCAAATTCGGGAAAAGTAAGAGAAACCTTTCACAGAGGGAACAATTCGTCCCTCATGGCAACCAGAGATAGTAATCCCTTAACATTAATAACAATCAGAGGATAAGCTAAGTTAAAATGAAGACCAGTGCACTTCAAAGTTTGGGGGTCTCAGGGGCAGAAACTATTTTTGATCTAGATGTAAATGATTTCATCTGTGAATTGATGATTGATGCCAATTTATTGACGATTTGATTGTGATTTGCTTGAGGTAGGAATATGATTTACTTCTGATTTGTTAATGATTTGATAACAATTTGTTTATAATTTCTTCATAATTTGAAAACAATTTGTTTGTGAATTGCTTGAGGTAGGAATATGATTCACTTCTGATTTGTTAAAGATTTGATAACAATTTGTTTATAGTTTCTTTACAATTTGAAAACAATTTGTTTGCGATTTGCTTGAAGAAGGAAAGCAATGACCTCTGATTTGTTAATGATTTCAAAACAATTTCTTAACAATTTGTTTGTGATTTGCTTATGAATTGGATGCGATTTGTTCATGATTTGTTGTTGTGATTTGTTATCTCATTTGCATGTGAAATTTTATCATTTTCAAATCATAAAGAAATCATACGATTTGGTTATCATGTGTTACCATGATTTGTTCCTCGATTTTTGTTCGTTTGGGGCATATCATTCTATAAAAGGCCCGAAATTACAAATGTAAAACAATTCAAACAAGAAAACCAAAAGGCCTGATTTATGTACAAACCATGAAAGCCATCAATGTATATACACTTGATGACCTTAACATGCTTAACGACCAAAAGATAGAAAATGTTTTAACCAAAACCATCTACTTATCTGATACATTAGAGATCCCCGTTGATTTTTTCTTGAAATTTTGAAAGAAGGTCAATTCAAATGTGTACTGTTGGAAATATGCAAAGAAAATATGCCTTCATGACTTACTTTTTGAGATATTTTGGTTCGAGATTTGCATATTTGAAGGAAAATCCTGAAATTTCATAATTAGGGACTTTTAAGGAAAGTAGCAATAAGCCATAAACTTGATTTTTTAATGGCAAACGTCCCGTTTGCCGATATGGCGCTAAATTACGTTGAAATAAGTTTTAATCGGAATAACGTCGTGAAATCATTCCCGCCGTACACGACTACTCAGTCAAGTTCAGTGGTATAGCCAAGGGTTTTTTCGAAGCAACGATATTAATCATCAAAATTTATAAAGCTGGTAACTCGTAAAATAGCATAAAATATTTGCCTTTATGAAAATTAATGTTACGAAACTTGGACAGAAACTTCCTCATAATCACGAAATAGCATTATTCTAATAAAAGAATTTATTTGCATCTCTGTCCGACATTAGTCCTATAAGTCATGTAGACAACACAGCTTGAACATAGTTTTAATTATTCACATGGCCCCGACATGACAAAATGTGAAACTATTATAAAGTAAGTGGGAAAATATAAAAATAATATAAGTTATTTGGTTTGCAACTGACCCCCTAGGGATCCATAGAGGGTTAGTAAAATCCATAGGGGTGAGGCCGAAGGATCCGTAGGGGGTCAGTAGTGAACCGTATAACGAATGTATCGCACACGGGACTTTTCCTGCTAAGTGATGTATAAAATAAGCAATGAAATACAAGAACATTAATTTTATCGATGACGTCGCCATTAATAGTAAACGTGACGTCATGAACCCCATATGAAATCTACTAACCCCATCAGTAGGACAACCGGATGTGCCTTTTTGGCCAAAATGTGATTCGGCGGCGCTCAGTAGTCCTACGCCGAAAATTGGACTATTTTGCGTCGGCCGACGTCAACTGAAAAATGGCGCGCTTTTGTGTTTTTTTTTCGTTCGTTTGCGGCAAAGTACCGACGACAAATACTGTTGATTGTAAGCAAATCTATATGAGAAAAATATATGAATTTACATTTCATTTTTGAACATTAAAATAAAAGGAAATCTATTTTTTTTATATCTGGACATAGAATTTCGGATATTGATTTTCTGCACTGTAGGATAAAATAGCTATATTAAAAATGGGAACAAAAAAATACCTATCCTTCGATTTTCTAAAAAAATTTACATCATATTCTCGCTAGTTTTTGGCAAAGAAATTCGTAAAGAACATGAGTGTTCAAGCCAGGGCAAAAATTTGTTCCCATTTTAATGTAGGGGTCGCAATTTTTTATAGTTTTTTCCTTGCATGGTCGGTAGATTTAGAAATTGGAAGAGTTTCTGTTTTTAAAGTAAATATTCATTCAATTCTCACGGAAAAGTGAATCAATAGATATTAAACCCCTTTAAAAATAACAACATGTGTCAATAAATTGTAAAATAATAGATTTTTTTCGAAATTGAAGAAGGCGCCATTTTGTTATTACGTCAATTGGTCTGCTATAATTATTAGCTGTTTCTAAAAAAATCTCCGCCTCGATTTTTTTTATACTTTCATATAATTATCTTTGGTACATAATGTATATGTTATAAAAAAATTAGGCACTTCTATCGAGTAGAAATGGAGAACGGTCATCTTTATTTTGTATGTTCCCACTATGGGGGCGTGGTCCTCCCTAAACCTTGTTTCTGAAGTACACGATAGCTATTCTTCTCTCAAAAATAATTATCCACTAAAATTTATTGAAACATAACAAATATATTTTAAGACATCAATAAATTCTAACTGCTAGAGATTTTTTGAAGCAGAATTGCCGGAATCGACCTCAACCGATGTTGTGTCAGTATATAGACCAACGTTGTCAATTTCCGCCGCCGAAAATGTCAACGTAAATCACTAAATGTCATTAAAAGTTGGATTCTTTATTTCTTTGTAGCAATTTTGTTTATCTGAATGCCAAGGAAGTCATGCGATATGTTGAATTCATATCAACGTTATACCAAAACAGGCCGAGCATGGTAAACTAACAGTTTTAGGCCTACATCATCATGGGATTGATTTGTTGATATCGTACTTCGTTGATCCATATTTATTTCGTGAATATTGACTATTGTTAGTATGTTACCGGCCGATGAGTTTTTAATGAACATCTAATCTGAATAGGCCATAGAAAAGCTATCGGTTTTTTTTCAAAAGTTTCCTTTCGTTAATACAGTTATCGTTATGTGTTTTGTTTTGTTTCTTTTTCGAAAAAGGGGGGGGGGGGGGGGTAATTTTGTCAAAGGCATGTGATATTTTATTGATTCTTAATTTCTGGTTTGCAGTGTTGGTTTAAACTCTTCATGACTTTACTTTTAAAAAATTCAATGTGCAGTTTCTAAGGGCATTGGTATAACATGTATAATGACTATTAAACTAGTATTAATATATCTATGCATATGGGGAGGACCATTTGCTATTCTAGGTAGGTGGTGGGAAGGGAATCCTGGTCTGTTCGCACGAGTACTTGTTCGCTCTGGGTCCTTTCGCCCTGTTCTTTTCTTTTATTTTGTCTTGTTTAATCACGAATATATATTGACAGATATACTGTTCCCAGGTTTAATGTAAATTAGTTGAATGAAGTATGTAAAAGTTTGTTGACAATTTAGTGAATAAACTGCATAAGCCATAAGTGTGAGGTAGTAGGATTTTTTTTCTGGATTGACTTTTTATTTCCATCCATTGCTACAATGATGAAGGCTCTCAGAGACCTATACATATATTTATTAACCTTTTCGTCATAAGGTATCTGGTGGAGAGTTGTCTCATTGGCAATCATACCCCAACTTCTTATTTTTATATTGGAACTGTAATCAAGTCTTAAGCAGGCAAACTGATAGGGAACCGTAGTATCTTTAATAAAGAACTAGTGACAAAACATCAATGAAATATTCAAAGGATACAATGAAGCTAGCCATATGAAATATTTTTTTGTATGTTGTGCACCTCTTTTCTCCTTTCAGTGGCAGGGGCTATGTTATATGGTTGGCTGTATCATAACTTGTGATAGGATATAGTTATGCAGTGTTAAATGCTGGTCCCGATGGGACACAGATCCCCACCCCAAATTGATAGGGATAAAATAATTAAATTATTTCACTCAATCTCAACAACAGGGCAAAAGTGAAGGAAATCTAAGCATACTAGATTATTTAAGTATGTGACATGTGATAAATATTCAAAAGTGAGATTATTTGATCAAATCTAGCTTTGTGATACAATTTCTTGAAAAAGTATTAAAGCAAAATTGAGTTCTCTCTACAACATATGGGCAAATGTCTAATTTTCCATGTCAGAATAAAGTCCAATAATTCTGGAAAGGCAAAACTTGAATTCGCCAAAAGCAAAGTGAGCTTTCTGTAAATTACACTCATACAAAATAAAAGGGAAACACTTCAGGGCAGAGGGAAGATATATTCGGTTGGCAAAAGTATAAAATAAAACATATGGAATCTTATTAATTATATAACAGTGATATTGCTTTGATAAAAAATTTCATGAAAACAACTGAGTCAATAATCTGAATTTTTTACTAAAAATTGTAACATTTCACTTATGCACATTTTAATGTTTATGAGTCTGTCATATTTAAAAATCCTCTTTTTACTACACTTTGGAGCCCATAGTATGCTAAAGCTTCATTTATTTAATCCTGCTTTAGTTCAACAAAAATGTCTGCTAATAATCACTTGAACCACCTGGGTTATTTGGTGGGGTTACCATTCTGTACATGAATATATCTCTCTTAATAAATTTCATATACATTTTGTAAATTGCTGATTCCAGGTATTAAATTTTTTATCCTCCAGTAAAATTATTCTTCTTACACAATGTGTTGTGTACTGAAAAAAGAAAATATTTTGTTATTAAATTAAGTTTGTTAATTCAATCAAAACGTAATGAAGAATGATAATTATAATATATTGTATTTCATTGTTATGGCCATATATGACCCCAATACAGTCTGCTTAAGTCATTCTCTTATCTGAAAAAAATGGACAAATTCATTAAAACACTTCATTAGGATATAATGCACATCTTGTAAGAGTTACTTCCCTTGTATTGTTTTTAATCATTTAAATTAATTTTAAATTACTGTACCCTTCATTCTTGAAATTAGGTTTTAAATCCAAATGAAACAATATTGACATTTATACAGCATAGATAATAGAATACAATCTTTAAACTATTAAAAGTATACCATTTGGCCTTAAAGTCTGAATGATTCCTTGGCCTATATCCTATAAATTTTAAGTTCCAGTCCCAATTTATTACATTGGCAACTTTCATGTCTGACTGTTACATGCAGAATATTTTCAGTCTGTTTCCTTATGAAAACAGTTTAAATACCATGTATATTATTTTTTTGTTTCATATTTGTGGGATTGAAATCATAGCACATTGTCAATAACCCACTTTTGTAACCCTATTAAAACAGACAATTTTGGATTACTTACCCTTAATATATTGTAGTCCTATTGTTTTCTGTTAACAAAAATGATTTTGCTTTCAACATCACTGGACATTCCATTTGATTACTGTTTTCTTGTTGTATGTACAGAATATTATACATGTACAAGTATTTTTGTTTGAATAAAAAGGTCCTCTGTTTTGAATTTTTGATCCATAGTGAATCTCTTTCTCAATTCTGTAAATATAAAGCAAATTTACATACAATTACTATTAATGTTTATTTACTAAGTTATTCAAAGCAAACTTAAACTTTGCATTGTTATTATCAACACATGAATACAAATTTGCCAAATAAATTACCAAGAAAATACATGTACATGTATTTATTAAGTATTATAGATAATTATGCCCCCAGCATTTTTGCTCAATACATGTACATAAAAGTTTCAGACAAAGAAAACATTTCAAAAGTCTTGAAAAATAATTTTTAGGTTTAACAAGGAGCAAATTTATGTTATACCAAACCTTTTGATAACATTTTTATATTTAATAGTTTGCCTAAACATCGTAAGATCATAACATGTCTATTGTACATGTACAATGCAAGCTGAAATTTTATACATTTTGGGGGCACTCACAACCCAGTTTCATTTTAATTTAAATCCTGGAACCACCACTGTCATGACTGTATTGTCACTAAATTGACACCTTGAATTTTTGATAGTTTCAATAAAATTGAGAATGGAATATTCAACCATATTTTTGGGTATTTAAGTGACACAAATCTACCAGTAAGAAGAAATCCAGATCAAAGTACTAATGAGTTCGGGTTAAAATTGTTAAATCTGTGTAGAAGCACTGGTCTACGTATTTTGAACGGTCGGCATAAGGATGGCTTAGCTAATGACTTTACATTTTGTGGTTCCCGGGGAATGAGTGTTGTGGACTACTTATTGGCTCCATATGACTTTTTACACATTATAGACCAGTTTATTGTTTGTAACTTCACTTCTTTTAGTGACCACGCGCCTTTACATGTTCGCTTGCGGTGCATATTGCACGATTCACAAGAGCCCGAGCGTAATAGTGATACGCCAAACAACTCATATAATAGTTACCGATGGAAGGAAGAGCTAAAAGAACAGTGTTACGAGTCTTTAACTTTAAACAGTGGTTCACTTAGCCAGATAGTATTTTCTGATATTGAAAAATCCCAAGATGGTATTGACAATTATGTTGAATCGTTTACTTCCAATTTGATGGGCATTATTTCACCATTCTTTTGTAACTCACATAATTCAAATAATACTTGTGACCGTACCCGTAGTAAGACGACCCGATATAAAGATGACAAATCATGGTTTAACTACGAGTGCAAAAGACTTCGATCTATCTATATTAGTTCTTTGTATACATTTAATAGAGACAAAAATGTTGAAAATCATCAAATATTAATTATGTCTAAAAGACAATACAAGCGTTTAGAAAATAAACTAAAACGAAAATATAAGCGTCAAGAGGGTGATATGATAGCTACATTGCGTAAAAGCGACCCAAAGAAATATTATAAACTGTTTCAAAAGAAGAGAGCCAAAACTTCTGATGTGTCACTTTCAAAATTCTTCGAACATTTTAGAAATTTGGTCACAAATGATGGTATTAATGTGACAGTCGATACTCCAGAGACCGTTTCCGAACACAACATATGATGAACTTGATCAAACTATTACACAAGATGAAATTTTGAAGTGTATTTCTAACCTTAAACGTGGTAAAAGTCATGGTATTGATGGTACATTTAACGAGTTATTCATTGAATTTAAGGATATTCTGCTACCATTCCTAGAGGAAATATTCAATAAGATATTAGCATCAGGACATTTTCCGAAATCTTGGGCACTCGCAGTGTTAATTCCTGTTTTTAAAAAAGGCGACTCGTCCGATCCAGCGAACTATCGTGGAATCAGTTTAGTCAGTAATTTAGCGAAACTGTTTACATCTATTATAAATTCAAGACTAATAAAATGGTCTGAGAATAATGATATTATTACAGATGCACAATTTGGATTTCGCCCGGGTAGGAGCACTGTTGATGCAATTTATTCTTTGTTGACACTCGTTCAGAAAGCACTTTTCAAGAAAAAACGTTTGTATTGCTGTTTCGTTGACTACAAACAGGCATTTGACTCCGTAACCAGACTTAACTTATGGTTGAAACTATCAAGAGTTGGTATAACAGGCAAATTACTGTCTGTTTTAAAATCAATGTATTCTACAGTAAAAGTATGTGTGAAAGTTGATGGTTTTTATTCTGAGCAGTTTACAAGTTCAGTTGGTCTTATGCAAGGGGAAGTTCTTTCTCCTATACTATTTTCGTTATATGTAAATGACTTTGAAATGGAATTTCTACGTAATAGTAATATACCATATGAAGTGCAAGACTTGTCATTGTTTTTACTTATGTATGCTGATGATATGATTTTATTTTTTGATTCAGTTATTGGCTTGCAAGATATGTTAGACACATTATTATTATATACTTGTAAATGGGGTTTGACTGTAAATTTTGCCAAAACAAAAATTATGGTATTTAGAAACGGAGGTTTTGTAAAAGACGAAGAAATTTGGTATTATGATGGCAATACTATTGACATAGTGGATGACTTTTGTTACCTTGGTGTACTGTTAAATTTTAACGGTAAATTTGTTAAAGCTCAAAAACATTTAGCTGAGCAAAGTAGAAAAGCTGTTTTTGGTTTAAAGTCGAAGGTTTCGTCATTGTATTTGAATGTTTTTACATATTTGAATTTATTTGATACTTACATTAGCAGTATTTTATGTTATGGTTGTGAAATATGGGGCTTCCATAAAGCTCCAAATATTGAAAAAATACAACTTGATTTTTGCAAAAACATATTAGGTGTCAAACAATGTACAACAAATGTTATGGTTTATTTTGAATTGGGTAGATATCCTTTGATATATTTTAGAATGTACAAAATAGTGAAGTACTGGTTAAAATTGTTATCCACAAGCAACTGTATTCTTAAAAACTGCTACAGGGAACAACTGTATAATTTCTGTAATATTAGAAGCAGTTGGATTTATCAACTACAACAATTATTATTTAACTTAGGTTTAAATGAGATCTGGTATAACCAAGACAATTTGATTATTGATACAAATTTATTATTATTTGTAAAAACAAGGATATATGATCAAGCAAAACAGACTTTGAATGATCAACTGAACGTTTCATCTAAGTGTTATTTATATAAATATATTGTCAATAATGTATGTTTACAGAATTATCTAACCAAACATATGAATTTTAGAGTGTATTTAACTCGCCTTAGATTGTCATCTCATAATTTGTTTGTTGAAGTAGGCCGTTATCATGGAGTAAATAGGTTAGATAGAAAGTGTACTCTTTGTACTTTGAATATCACTGAAGATGAATTCCATTTTGTTTTACAATGTGAATGCTATAGAGACTTAAGGAGACAGTTTATTAAACCTTATTATTATAGACGTCCATCGTCGTTCAAATTAGTGCAACTTCTCAGCACTGAAAATGTAAAAGATTTGCGTAATTTTGTGTAAATTCTTGTTTAATGCATTCAATCATAGGACCAAACTGTTATTGGTCAATACTTGATATTTATTTGCTTCTCTGATGTATTATGTCATGTTGTGTTATAGAAATGTATTTGTATTTATTGAACTGATAAGCATAATGTGCTTAAAGTAATAAAGAATTGAATTGAATTGAATTTGACAATATTAATGAAGTTTGAGAAAGTAATATTGTTAATGGATTATCATTTCTAATTAGATTGTGTATATAATCATTGGAAGAATATAACATGTCAGATATAACATGTACATTTGTATAAAGAAATTGTAAATTAATTAGTTTCTGGGGATTCATGTAATGCAAAGCAGCATGTGTACAAGCTTTTCAAATGGGTGGGTGATTGGTTAATTTCAATTTGTAAAATTCTTTTATAATTTCTTAGTTATGATTTAGAAGATGGCTATCTTAATTAATTTTTTTATGGGAAAGATCTGGTACATGTCCATGTAATCATGGTAATAACCGAACATAAAATAAACATTGCTCTGACAAGAGTGCTGACACAGGATGAACATGAATATTCTGTCCAATAAAAAGGAAAGAGCAATTGTGTACAGATTGAAAAAAAATTAAAAAGCCATAATAGTAAAATAAGAAGATGAATATAATGTCCCCTTTAAAATTCCTCCTACCCACCCACCCACCTACATAAAAATAAAAAAATTCATATGAGTATGGATCGTGAACCCCCCTATTGACAGAAACAAGTGCTTGTGATTGATTTCCCTTTGTATTATATGTTAATATAATAATGAAAGTTTTTTTAAATATTAAATTTTGGTGTATATGAAATGGGACGAATCTATTAATATTAGACCAGCTATAAAATAGCCAACAGTTGAAGTGAATATGTCTTACATTCTAATGATTTGCAGTGGCGGATCCAGAAATTTTAATAAGAGGGGGCCCACTAACTAACTCTCAAGATGCAATAAATTTATCAGCCCATGTACCAGTCAAGGCTCTTTTAACACTTCAAGCTGACAAGCAAAAACTAAAAAAATCATCAAATTTCAGCAACGAGGTACTGCATAAAACAGAATGGGAAAAATGTGTACCAACAATTTACAGTGAAGCAGTGAAAAAATCTTTAGACCAAAATAAAAATCGAAAAGTAACAACGGAAGACCAAACAACTAATCTGATAGATGCAATTAAACAAGCTGCAAGGAAAACAATTCCGACAAAAACTCTGAAAATCCGCGGCCCAAGACTAAAAGTTTCGCAACATGCAAAAAAGTTGCTAACGATTAGTAAGCAGAAACACAGGATATGGGACCTACATGGAAGAAAGAGAGGTGAAGACACTTTTTTTTTTGGAACTGAAGGAAGCAAAAAGAAATGTTAGAAAAAGTTTACGGCAAGAGAGAGCAGCTGAATGTAAAGAATTTTATAAAAAACTGGAAAGTGAACCCAACTCTAAAAATTTCTACAGATTAATACGCAGAAATACAAACAGCACTAAAGAACTTGATACAACCATACTATATGATGACCATGAACTCACCGATCCAGAAGAACAAAGGGAGGCAATGGCAAAATATTTTCAAAATTTAGCAACACCTAAGGATGATCCTG